CATATCATTACCTTAATTAACTAACTAGATATTTACCTATAGACTATATGCTAATTTTGCTTCGCTTCGCTCAGCAAATAACGGAATTTTCATCTAGTTTAGTATCTAGCCTAAAGCTTGCTCCGCGTCTTCTATGAAGGTTTGAATCAGGGCAGATGTAAAGGCCATTGTAGTTGCAAGACAGTACCGGGAAGTAGGCCAACAACATCTGGCCTTTTGGGAGAAGCCCCTGTGTCGCGTAAGATGGCCGCGAACCCAATTCTACCGATTGCTAAAGGAGCTTTGAAATGAATATCTCGATTTCTGTATCCATTGTTGTCTGAAAGGCCTACCGATCAAGCTCGCATTTGACTCTCTTGGGTTCAAAGAAAACCCATTGACCTAAGACCAACTCACCATCTGCAATTTCTTGTTTCGATTTTTGACCAAGGAGCTTTCAAATTTGGAATCCCCATTTCGTGAATTGCGTTTCAGACTAGTTCTTGCTATGGGTCATTGAAGACAAGTACGTCAACGTGATAACATAAAGGCAGGGAAACATACAAAGTCTACCCAAGTAATGGAAGAAGATTCAATATCTACACAAGTGAAGTGTATGAAAGATCGCCAATGAACTGCAATATAAAGAAGTCGGAGCCTCCCTCATGAGAGAAGCGGTCTTTTTTTTTGGTTTTTTCTAAGTTTTCTATTATTTACAAATGTATCTTCATGACTGATCAACTCAAATTTGCTCCATGATATCCTTTAGTACATCAAACAATTCGCCGGACTGCTTCTCATTACCGAGCTGGATTGCATCATTTAATGTTAGTGTTCTGAGCATTCAATTTGAAATGAAAAGAATTTAGACACTTACCCGGAGAAGAAGGCTCACGACCTTCCCGTCTTCGTTGCTGGCGAGATAAATATCCCGAGTGGTCGGGCGAGAACTCTTGGCATCACCAAAGGGCATGCTATGCCAAACCGCACTGTTCAACATAACACGCAGGGCACCATCGGCACGCATGATAATGCGGCCAGATTTCTTTCCGTTGGATTCCGTCTTGAGGTTAACCTTGAAGGTGCCGGTACCACGCTCCTTCCATTTCTTGTCGTCAAAATAATACAGCTTGGCCTTAGCTGTGAACTCGGTGCTCTCATTTTCTTCGCCGGTTTCAACTGGGGGTTCACGTCTGAATGAGTTTCTGGCCATATTTGGGATCCTGGGGGAAGGCAACAAGGGGTCCATACCAGTTTGTGCGTGGAAACGCTTGTCGGTCTTCTCGGCAACAAAGGTGTCATCCGTTTCACCAACTGGTTCATTGTCACTATCTTCGTTGTCGGATTGTTTGGCGCCAAGGGTCTTATCACTAGACTCGCCAAAGGAAACGGGGGCATTCGGAGACACGAAGCTGGTCAGTTTACCACTTGCGCCAGAGAAGCTGGTGGGGGTATTGGCAGATGCGAAACTGGCCAGTTTACCGGCGGTTCCGGGGAAAGCGGAGGGAGCATTAGGAGACGCGAAACTGGTGAGTTTACCAGACAAAGCCGGGAAAGCGCTGCCAAATGCAGAGAAACCGGATCCGAGGGTACCGAAACCAGAAGTCGAGGCACCGCTGGTTGCAAAAGGCGAAGTTTCAGATGTCAACTTAGTTGCAGGCATTGCGAAAGGTGAAGGTGCGTTGGCAGCAGCAGCCATTCCGAATGCACTCGCAGTGAAAGTCTATCAGAAGCAAGTGTTAGTGGAAGATGGAAGTAAAAGCTGGGGAAGTCGAGGTAGCAAACTCGCCTGGTCCACCTTAGCCTTGCGCTCCTCCGAATTGTCTCGAGGTCTCTTCTTCTCGGGTTGTCCTTCGGCAGTAGATTTTTCGTCCGAAGTTGTCTCAGTCAAGCCGGGTGCGGGCTCAGTCGCAATGTAGGAGTTCTTCGAGGCACCATCCTCAAGCTCTTCTCGGCTCCGTTTCTTATTGAGGGTTTGTGAAGACTCATCCTCGTTTCCGCCGGCGGTCATTTCAAGATTCTGTGGGAATTGAGAGATGTTAGAATCAAATTCTTCAACCTTGGGTCTAGGGGAATCGGGGTTCGTTGGACTGTATGGGACAGGAGGCGGGGAAGACGGGTATTCAGGTGAACGGTAGTCAGGCAGGGATTCTTCAGATGAAGAATCTCCAATTGACTCAGGCTCTTCATAGATGTGGAATGAAGGGTCATCTTGTATGTAGGATTCAAGTGAACGATGCCCATGGGAAGGCTGCCCAGATGAAGGCTGCCCAGATGAAGGCTGCCCAGATGAAGGCTGCCCAGATGAAGGCTGCCCAGATGAAGGCTGCCCAGATGAAGGCTGCTCGA